CATAAAACAGATACTGAGTAAATATGTTAATTAGCATGCTCTTTAGCTACCTCTCTTTAATTGGTTGATAAGAATAAGGAAAAATGAACATGTATTAAACTAAGTTAATCAGCTAATTGACCAACACAAAAGAAGAAGCCACTTACATCAATATCATTTGGCAATCCTGATGCAAAAGATTTCTGCAAACATACAAGGATTTTATAAAAGCATCCCATTTATTAAGAAATCGAATTTAAGCCCTCATAATTAATCGAGGATACCTGCAATTCTTCATTTCTCGTGCGATGTCGTCCGGTGGGACAGCAGAAAAGAGAAGTACTTCAGGAGATCCATATTTAGAATATAGTTCCCCTTCCTGGGTGAGCACCCACCTTTCCCTCTTACTATCCTGCAGTATTTTCAAAATATAATACACATCAGTCATAAAATTTCATTAATTTCTGCAAATTCATACAAATTATATACCAACTCAATCTTACAAACTGTACTCATATTCAAAATGTTCAGAAAAATACGGACTTTGACTACAAAATCCATGAAATCTACCACAAAAGGGCAAGACATTTAGCTAATTACACCATACGCTACTCCTAAAAAACATTTACCCATCAAAAGTCTGTTTGTTGCTGAAAATAGTGAGAAACTCTTCTCTAGAGTCATTAAAGCTAAATACCTGAATACTTTATCCTTCACTGAACAAGCAAGGGATTGAGCAAGACGCGCGAAAGCCGTTGCGCTAACGCGCATCCGTTTTCTTGCTGCCTTCGCAGGAGGGCAGACGAAGTGGAAGATATCATCGCGAAGTTCACCCAGGTCCTTCCACACGTAACTCTCACTATGTTGGTTTGTCCGGCTTTCCTTTTCCCTGCGCAAGCGAGAAAGAATACTAAGGCCTTTCCAGCACTAAGCATATCCTATTTCCTTTCAGATATTTGCAGTTCCGGGTATGTGACTTAGTTCACTCTTCCTTAAATAGATCGATTAGCTGTGAAGGGGCCCGCTTACCCACTCCCCTTCCTCCCATTGCTAGGAGCTGGCTCGCTTGTTCACCAACGAAAAGAAAATAGAGTATATTTCCTTGCCCAAATTTAATGAAAATTTGATTAAGAAAAACAGGTGAATCTGTGATATTGTGGAGGTGGAAGTTGACCTGGGCATCAACGACACGAAAGCCATGGAGAAGGAAAAAACCGATTGATGACAAATTTCGGTCAGTCTGCGGAGGTTAGATTCTAGATTGGAGAGCATAACATGTCCTTCAATATCTTTAGTTGGTGTCTCTACTTAGTCGGTGTAGGCGGTGTGCGAGGAAAACTGGAAAAAGTGTCTGTCAGAGTCAGACGTGCTAAGTCGGCAAAAAAAAAGGTCATAGTTAATTACAACTGTACCACAAAAGGCACAACCAATTATTAAAAAAAAAGGTCATTAGTTAATTACTACTACCTCCTATTCTTTTTAAATGTCATTTTGGCATTATCAACTATTTGCAAAATAAATGTTGTTTTGGATATTTTGTATATATTTTTCCATTATTATCCTTATCTAGCTAATAAATACACTACGTCTTTTCATATTCACTTTTTATCTTTTCTCAAAACATTCATTTCTATCATCATTAATGAGGGTTATTATTTGACAAAAAATATATTCTTAATAAGTGTACAATTTCTCAAAATGACATTTATTATGAATAGGAGGGAATACAACTATACCACAAAAGACACAACCAATTATTAAAAAAAAATAGACATTTTTAGCATTTCACATAAGACAGTCTCTCAATATTGTAAATGAGGACATTTTTGTCTTAAAAAAAAACATTTAAGTAAATTATAGAGTGGACACATGTCAACTCCTAAGGGCACTAAAAATGGACACATGTCAATCATAGAAGAGTCCTAACTTATTCATATAAGATATAAGAGAGATACTTTGCGAATATGCTGAAACTAAGTGGCAGACTTGCATGATTCTGGATCTTAGGTGTCTAAATACTATGTTTCAATGTTTGGCTTGAATAAATTTTAATTTAAATGCAATCTAAAGATAATTCGGTCTGGATTACCATAAATATGTTGATTATTTACGGTCATTTTAGATATATTGATTGTATTTTAATATCATTTCCTTTTATAACCATTGAATTTTGTAAATGTATTTTAAAAGTTACTAACTTTTGTACTTCTTATCAGTTTTACATATATAATATATCAAATTAATCATATTTTGATGAGCTTCGATTTGACATCGATATTGTATGTGAGGCATGAATTTTAGGAGACATCAATAATCCTCTCTCATGAGAGCAAAAATTTCCTCAAATGATCTCCTAGACAGAAACTTGCCTTCTGAGACTGCATGATATTTCTTCTAATGATCTCCATGAAGGTGTAGGATGGTTATCAATATAATGGTTATCAAGGGGGGTCCTCAAACCCAATCTAAATACTCAGCTATGGAAAACAAAAAGACTTGTTATCACTCTTCAATTCATATATGTGTTGTTCATCCGACTACTGTCTTTGATCAAAATTTCGTAGTTGTACCGTACCAGTGAGCAAGCAAAATGCGTTTTCTTCGTCACCAACGTGTTTTCCTAAATCATCACACGAACCTGCAATTTCTAAGCTGACAAACGAAGTTTAAACCAGTGCAATTTCATTCATCACAAAATTCAAACTGGAATAACAACTAAGGACATAAATGAACATTATTATTGTGTGATTTGCACAGCAAATCTGACACCAAACACACCATCACCACTAATCATCTCCCACCACCCATCACCATATGATCCTTAACACTATCATCAAACCCCACACTACTTCTGTAACTGCTCTCAATTAATCCATCACCAAGAAGAAAAGACTCTGCTGCATCTTCTCCCTTTGGTTCAACCCATGAATGTTTCCCTCCAACTCTGCCCAGCTCCTCCAATTCCGCCGCCACCTCCTTCATACTCGGCCGGTCGTCCCCTCTCACGTTCAGACAGCTCCTCGCCAGCTCAGCAACTTCCATAACCTGCTCCTCGTTATTCCTACCTTCCCCCACCACATCATCCGCCACAATTTGGGACAACCGCTTTTGCCTTATTACCGAGAGAAAATAATTCGCCAGATTCATCTCCTCCTCCGGCCTCTCGTAGCTCAAAGCCTTCATCCCCGTCAGAAGCTCGACGAGCACCACTCCAAAGCTGTAGACGTCACTTTTCTCGGTTAGCTGATTCGTCTGCATGTACTCAGGGTCCAAATACCCGAGCGTCCCCTGCACCATTGTGGACATTTGCGTGTGGTCTAACGGGACCAATTTTGAGGCCCCGAAATCGGACACTTTTGCCGTGAACGTGTGGTCCAGTAGAATGTTTGCCGATTTGACATCTCTATGTATGATAGGAGTGGAGGCCGAAGAGTGGAGGTAAGAGAGCACGCCAGCTGTCTCAGTCGCGATTTTAAGGCGCACGTCCCACGAGAGGGCCCGTGCCCTTTCCTTGTCGTGTATGTGTTGGAAAAGGGTGCCGTTGTTCACGTACTCGTACACTAGCAAAGGCTGTTGCCTCTCGAGACAGCACCCGAGGAGCTTGACGACATTCCTGTGGTTAATTTGGGAGAGGACGAGTACCTCGTTAGCAAACTGGTAGACTCGGCTTGGGTCGATTTCGACTTTGGACTTCTTGATGGCGACTATTCTGTTCTCCGGCAAGATGCCTTTGTAGACGGTGCCGTAGCCTCCTTTGCCGATGATCATGCTGCTGTTGAAGTTGTCGGTCGCCTTTTTCAGCTCGTGTTCGCTGAAAATTTTGATGGCGTCCGATGAGGATGATGGCCCGCCTGTACCGTATAGTTTTTCCTGCAGCATAATGCCGCCGTTTTGGATGTAA